TCCAAACGGTACAACTTCTGTTTTGGTCTCCATCGAGTACGCGAGCGCCCCTGTTATCGTTTGTGGATTCGCAGTGAGGCACTTTAAAGTGAACTTCGTCGTCGAGTATGCCCATACCAACGTTGCCGAGGACCTGAAGAAGGACCCCTTCTACGCCTGTCTTCATGTCGTCCTCGGTTCTTGCTCGCGACAGCCATTATCGATCGTAGCGGTTTACTTCAATGCCTAGGTCGGCGCCGATCATGACAGCTGGCCCCGTGTGCTAGGTGGAGCCAATAACACTGGCAACCGCCAGTTAGACTTTTGCGCTACCTGCAGCTTCTTTATTGGTGGGTGTTGTCACTACGATCATCGCCATACGTGAAGGGCGACAGGATATCACTTCCAAGACCATTCAGAAACACATTGTCTTGAGACTTCGTGCTCGTTTGGCAACAGCTGAAAGAACTTTCCGGGAGGAGGAACATACAGACAAATCCAATGCACCTATCACTTGCATTGCGTTCCAGATGGAGATCACGACTCATTCACTATTATGGATTCTACCGTCTGTTAAAACCCACAGCTGCCTTGCATCCGCCGGAAAGAATGCATTTTCGCTGCCACTGCCAAAACTATTGGCATCAACATCAAGAAGAAGAAGCAGCCTTGGATCAGAACAGAGGTCTTAAATCTTCCTGAGCAAAAGAAACACAGTGAAGCAGGTGTCATTACATGGCCTTGAACCGATGAAGAGTACCGCCTCCTCGTAAAGGCAATCAATGGCGCTACCGTACTGACACAATGATGACTGGATCTTCAAGCACAGTAGCTAAAAATAGAGCACAGAAGGGAGACTGAACGATGTGCTCCAGTCAGGTGAATTCCATTCGCCAGTGTGACATAAATAATCCCTCGGCCTGTCTGCTACATAAAAAGTTCAACAAACCGCTGCAAGACGATGATGGCCGTCGGAAACGATTGACGGAGCAATTCGCAAAGTTCTTTAATAGGTCTGATCGTGTGAAACACCTTGATTTTGTAAATGACAATCTACAAGATGTGGATGTTGACTTTTCCCCACCATCAACCTGAGAGATTAAAAAAACGTTTCGATTCTGTCGGAGCTCGAAGTACTACGAGTATTAATCGTGAAATGCGAAGGCAAAAATTTTTTAAACTCGGATTCATCTGGTTTTCCACAGCATCTGGCGGAAATCGATGATCCCCGAAGATGGAAAAAAGGTGCGACTATAATCAGTTTTCAAGGCCGGAAATCGCGCTAGTATCACCAACTATTGAGGAGTCGCTTTTGCCAGGGTTGATGAAGAATTTCACGAGGATCATCCTTCGAAGATTGAAGAAGACCACTGATCATTGTCTGAAAATTTGCTTAAAGAAATCAAGCAGACTTCCGCAACGGACACACGTGCAGGATAGCATATTCAGGCCGAAACGGATCATCAAGCAGTAGCAGGGCTTCCAAACTACCCGGAATCTCCAACACTGATATGAATGCTCTTCTCGAAAAGCAGAGGTCGCTTTTGATAGGAGGCGTAGCTCCAAAAGCACTGAAATATCTGATCTAGCTGTAGTTAATATGCATTTGGGTGATAAAATATAACTGTCAGCTTCTTTGTAGAAAAATTTTACAGAGGTCAGCGTCGGCTCTTCCTTAGCTATAGACAAAATATTCCTGGTCAACGTGATCTGCCCAATGCACATACAGAACGAAGGCTATGCACCGGAAAAGATGCACCGTACAACTCGGCCTACTCCATACATCTTGCTCAATTCTAAAATGGTCTGCTCACTATAGAAAAATTTAGGCAGACAAATTACCCTTTTGCCAAAGGTCCATTATCCCACTATTAAACTGTGCAGACTCCTGCGACATTCTTCAATCTGTGGCAAGCGCAACAATCTGTTGTCAAGAACAAAGGTAGCTGTAGTGGTGCAAATCATGGGAATCATTTCACAGATGACAAGAGGGGAGATTTTGGAACATGGTGTTACATTAAATCGAATCACATGAAATTTTTATTGCTCAACATAGCCAAATATTAGAATAAATGATTTAAGCATAGCGTGTCAGCAGCATTTCTCTAGAAAATAATGATGAACTGATGATGAGTTCAATCCTCTGTCAATTTTCTTAGCCAAAATGCTGCAGCACTTTGGCATGATATTCAGAACTAATTAAATTTTGATCATGCCTCCTCCGTAATTTAACTCATAATCAACTTCAATCGAGCATTTTGTTTTTGCTTTGGTTCTTATAAATTTTGTCAGAGTAACGAAAAATAAACAATTATCAGGAAATGCCCGAAACATGACATTCTTTCTATATCTCATGGGCCGTTTTCAGTGTATTTGCTCATACCGATTGTTTTAAAGTGTCGGTATTGCTATTTGTATTAATATGTGCTGGAGCCGTAAGGAATTATTCGGTGTAAACAGAATGAAGTTTTGGTATCCGGGGTATATTTAAGTTGCGCCTATCTCAAATCGTGTTAATAAACCCGGCTATGTCATGATTAATCAAATAAATAGGCTTTATGCGTACTTCACATGTAGCCAATGTCCACCTCTACTCGTCTCGTTTACATTATCTCAAAAATTCTCCATCTGCTCACAGTAACGTGCAACAGTAACACATCATGAAAGAATGTTGGCAACGGCGGTCACCGGGAACAGCTATCGAAGAAACCAATTTATAGCTGCGATTAAGATAAGGTTTCAGGCGTTTTCAAAGCTGGGGAGAAAGATAGAAGTACATAATTGAGCATTCCTCCTGGAAAATGTTCTAACTTGTTCTCGATCTCCCCAAATATTTCGCAATTATTTTACAGTGCAACTGAAGTTCATGAACCCACTTAGTGTGTTGGCTAACTTGACTTTCTGTGATGTAATTAGAAACAAAAACAAAATCAATC